TAGTTTGTACTCTATTCAATGTCTTATTGATGATTTTTCAGCCATTGTTTTCTTTGACATGTACAATCGTTGTACAAAATACTCAAAAACTATTTTGCAAATTATCGTCTAACACAATGCTTTAGTTTTTTGATTCTCAAAACTTTACACTTATTTTCATGAAATTTTAGATTTTTTAAAGATTTTTATACAATCTTTTTTTTTTTTTCGCTTCGTTTGAGAAAAAGTAAACAATGGATATCTATAATTATAAGATAGCGTCTCTTAAGAGTTGTTCAAGCGAAATTACGGAAACAATAGCATGAAAAAGAATTCTTGTTTTGCAGCATTTTACTTCATAATAATAAGCTTTCTTTATTCTTTCTTGAAATTTTATAGCGTGCTTTCGTTGTATACTCTTTAATTTTGTATTATATTTTGTATTGTATTTTTTGTTGAGGAAACCTATTTAGTTATCGTTCCGTCTTTAGATCAACTTTATAGCAGGGGCGGATCCGGGGGGGGGGGTGAATTGGGTGAATTTTCACCCCCCCCCCCTTTTTTCTATGCAGTTATGTCTTCAAATTTCATAATTAATTTGTTATCTGTTATGATTTGAGGGGGGGATGTGCAAAGGGGAAATGATTGATAAGAATTTGAAACGTCAATTTATATATCATTGAGGCCACATGTAATCCACAAAACGCCTCGTTATATGCTGTTGCTCGCTCCGTGTGCTTTCTTGTCTGCCATTTTGAGTAATAATGCAGCGTTCTACTATTTTCAAAGTCGGCAAAATGTACGGCAGAATTGGCATAACTATGATATAATATTATAACTTTTTTAAATGCTTTAAAAATTGCATTTCTGTGGGTGTCAAATTCGAAAATTCCTGGGAAATCATGTACGGACCTCAATAATTGCTTCAACATTTGGCGCTTGTTCATTTAAAAAACATCACCCCCCTTTTGAAAATCCTGGATCCGCGCCTGTATAGGTTTTTAAATCTTTTTGTGTGTGTGTGTGTTATAAAACGTTTGTATATTGTATAAGACCCTTTTATTTCGAAGATTTTTAAAACAATACTGACTTTAAATCTTCAGTGCATTCACAAACTTTTCAATAGAGTTTTATTATCTTCAATTTCAACCTCTATAGCTTTTAAATAATTCATAGTTTATACAAAAGTGCTAGAAAAATATTTAAAGAAATTCTCAAAAAGCTTTAAGAATATTAAAACTTCCGAGTCCTGACAAAATATAATATTGAAAATTTATCTCAAAGATTATGAGAAAATGTTCTATTTTTTATATTTTCTTCGTGGATTTGATGGACTTCGGTGTATACTCGTGTGATAGGAACTGAAGTCCTTTTTACGGCTGGCTGGGCTAACACAGATCAAGCTGCGTATACCATGCTCTATTGACTTTATCTATGCATAAACCTATATGCGTCTCTTGTTAAGTTTACAGCATCAATCTTAGGGTCTTTTAGACAATAAACAAATGGATCCAGAGACGCGAAACATTGAATTTGAAGGAGTGTCTTAGACTAGAACTGGCTCAAAAGAGACTATACACTCTCTGACTTGCAAGGCGTCATATCACGGGACGCATAAAAACTAACTTGGCATGAGGATTTCGTGCTGTGTTCACGAATTACAAACTTACAAACCTTCAATTCATTTGAGAGCGAATTCTAGCGCCGAAAGAAATCCAGGTTAGTCGAAAATACTTAAATACCTTATGAAAGTAAGTAAAATTTTTCAATAAGTAGATATGTGTGTACATAAACTTTATTATTTCCATACGAGTTCTGGAACTCTTTTGTAACAACACTAAAGCAATTGCAGTGTGTTGAGATAGACACCTAATGGATAAAATTTAGTCCATTCGAGTTTTAAGCTATGTTATTTTTTTGCGAGTTGCTTTTGTTCCCCAAATTTTGCCTAATTACCGTCTAGTCTAAAAAAAATAAATTTGGCGCTAAATTTTGTAGGTACAATTTTCCGCTTTGATTTGATCCTATTTGTGTGGTTCAGTCTTTCTTTTTTGGCTTCATTTTTCTCTAAGAACTATGTGAAAAATCAGTGACAGGCCTAAAAAGGACTTAATATAAAGCGATGGAGAATTATTGACAAAAAAAATATTTTATAAAAATTCGTAAACCTAGCAAGAAATATTGTTAAATAATCATTGCTGAACAATAACTGTGTCTTTCTAGAGACTTTTAAGGTCATGGCTTACTATATTTCTTACATTTTTCATTAATTTTTTAATTTGTTTATTGGTATTTGATTCAAAAATGCATAAGAATATTAATGTAAGCCTTTGATTTGGGTTATGTTTTTTTTAGGGTTTTTTTCAATGATATTTTAGGGTCTCGAAGATGCGTTTTCGTCACGGTACGAAACTTGAATTCGTTATCTGCGCATAAATGATCCCAGAATAGCATAATACATGTGGTCACTGAATGGTGAGATCCATGCAGTGTCTAAACACCTTGGTAAAAATTATTCTAACTTTTACAAACTTTTTTTTTTTAACTAAATCTTTAATTAATGTGAGTCAATTTGTCATCTTTCATTGGATTACTTTTTGATCCATGTGTTTGTACTCGGCTTCCCAGATAATGCTTGAATAAGATGCCAATATAAAGAGAAGCTTTAGGATTTTTTATTTTTTATTTTTTATTTTTTTGTTATTTTGTCTAATTTATTTCCCGTCATAATTAAACAGTCTAATAAAATAACTTTAACACTATAATCAAAAGTAGAGTGAAGGCATTTAACCCGTGAAATAAAAAAGGTTAGTCAATGTGTAATAATCAAATTGACACGAAAGAAAACAATGGAATTAGGGTCTACTAAAAGTGTATTAGTCTAATATCTATTTCACGGGTTTAATGACTTCACTCTAACTTGAAATTACGAATTAGTGGATGAGTTATATCATACCGCATAACAACATATGAAAGAAACTATTGCTAAATCGATTAGGCAAATTAATAAATACATACATGGCGGCTGTTTTATTGTTATTAATATCTCAAAGGATTTTGGGTCGATCATGTGTTGCACTCTAAGAACGAGTGGATGTACTGCAAAAGGGGTGAAATTCCATGCAGTCTGAATTTTAAACAGCCACTGACTCCCATTTTTTTCTAGTATAAACCGAATCAAAATATGGCGACCAATTTGAATAACTATTGCTCTTCACTGACTAGCGACTGACCAGCCTTTCACATGTTCGATAGGTTAATTAGCCACTAGTTAGTGAAGAACAATGGTTATTCAAATTGGTCGCCATATATATCGCGGAGTGATTCGACAATGCGATCTTTTGCCCATTAACGTCCTATTGTATCCTTTCGGGAATGACACGTGGTCTAAAATGGGGAGAAATAGGGGGAAATATACGCCGAACGCAAAATGGTCCATTTTCGAATCACCTAGTCCTAATATTTTGCACGAGAGGGGTTTGGGTAGACAACTACCATATGTGGTAAATCATTTAGCGCATGCGCACTATTTATTCGCACAGATAATTTGTTGTTTTTCTTCATACGATAATTTTGAAGAAAAAATATATTCCGTCCTGTTGGTACAAATAATAATAATAATAATAAAACAAGAAAATAATGATTAACACTGAAAAAAACTCCTAGGGTTTCAATTAGAATTAAAATTTACATTCTTTTTTACAATCCTATTTTCGAGAAAATTTAATTAGTAAAAAAAAATATCATCGCCTCCAGCCAATCAGATAACTTCACCTCCTTCTGTTAAGCTGGATGTCAACTGGCCAAATTTCTTAAAAAGTGCCGGTAATTATTTTATTTTCCTGTGAATTACAATCTTTTGTACACCCACGGAGAGTCGTGTTACTTAAGTCACTAGAGCAAGAAAGCAATGAGGGAAGATCACTTGAAACGTTTCTCTGGAAAATAATCGAGTGACTTTACCAGAGAGGAATATATACGCCTTGATAAGCTAAAGAACAAGCGACGATGTAAGTAGCTGTTGATAGATCTCTGTGTTTTTATATTTATTCATAAAGAGAAAAAGATCTCGATTGTACCGAAAAAACTGGAGAAAACTAGAGCTATTTAAAATATATTTAAAATATATTTTTTATTTTTGAGCTGGAAAATATTTCAAATACTTGATGAATTTTCAGTCGGGTTTTCTTTACCTTTGTTAAATTCAAAATTTAAACGTGAACTTTGGATTTTGAAGGAAAAAATTAGAAATTGTAATAGGTATTGTATAGTAGTTACATTGACTTTCTTTAACTGTTAAATAAAGAATATTTTATTCAAACCTTGTTCTCTGACAAAGAGAGCTTTAAGAGAGCTATACTTGTAGGAAGTAAGTTTTCGAAGTGAACAGTTTATTGTTTTGAAGAATCGATAAACCTATCCATAGCAACTGAAACTTCGTTTCATAATATTCATCGCTTTTTGGGGACAAAACCTAGGAGAATGATGTTATCATTTACAGACTTCCTATCGTACAACACTTCCAATTCAAAATAAAGTGATATTAAAATTAATATGCAAGTTTTATATGATAAAAATATAATTTTCTAAGTCGTGATTCAATCGTGACTTCTGCTTTATTCTGTGAGTGAAAAAGCTTCTACGCATCTGAGTGTTGATTGTACAAAAATAATAAAACATAATTGGAATAATCAAAATAAGGTTTGACTTGAAAAAGAATAGGAAAGTCATCGACTATTTTTGTTCATCGCACAAGAATAAATGAAAAAGCTCTTTTTACGAAGATGACTTGAAAACAATATTTGAGGCATCTAGTTTTCTCTCCGAATCTCGAGCAATAATCGTGAAGCAATTTTTTTTTCTTTCAAAATTTTGAAATCTTTTGTCGTTGTTTTGTTAAATGGCTTATTTTTGGAACAAAAAAATTATCAATCGACTTTTTTTATTTGCTTATTTAAAGCTAGCTACTTTGTTATATATTGATTCTGTGTGAGCTTGCAAAAGGACACTAAAAAATAAATAAAGAATCGATAGCGTATTTTAGAGTCAAGAATCAAAGACATTCATCAACAACACAGTTAGTATTACATCAATATATATGCAGAACAGGTGTTAATATAGATTTAAGACCCGGATTTTTTCCTACTAAATACGATTTATTTTGTCTTTATTTTTTCATCTCTAGACGTTTAGAAGTTAATAATAAAAATAATTTGTAGAGGATTAGGTTTTTTAAAGGTTTGCATTAAGAAAGTTTCACCTCGATTGTTATTCGTTCCACGCTTGATATAATCAAGTCCATCAATCGCAACCTGAATTGGAAGTCACTCGCTATATAGGCGTTGTTGATATAGTTTTAGTAATATCATATAACCCATTAATCCACGACCTCTTAAAAACCAAACCATCGTCACGCAATATTTTTTCATTCCTATGATTTCCCCTTTCGTTGTTCGCGTCCAAATCAACTCTAGATTCATTTTTTGTTTCGCTTCGTCTCGACCACGTGCTACAAACGTCATAATTCTTTCTTTCATTCAGCAAAAATACCTAATTTTGACAGCCCCACCAAAAGCAGCTGATTCTAATTCAACACTTTCAGCATTTCCTCTTGTTTTATTGGCCATCAAGTGTATGAATATTATAAGCTTATAAATTGGCTTTGGATTTTTGAGCCATATTTTAAGTTCATCATCTTCGCTTGGATTGCTTGCTCATTTGAATAGGCATTGGCGTGGAATGACTCGTTTCAAAAAGCATTAAGATCATTCCTCGGCTTGAATTTACATACTCGATGGTTTTATCAAGAGCCGTTTCTTAATCACCACCGTACAATTCGAAGGAACTTTTATGGCTTTGAATTCGCGATAGAAGGTCTTTAATGTTCAGGCTATTTTGGTTTTATTATGCTATGGTTTTAAAGGTATAGATTATGGCTTTCACACTATCTTTTAGAATGATTTACCATGGGCAAATCTTCTTATATTTAATTTATTTTCTATTTCTATATCCGCAGAGTAAGTACTAGTCGAGATACACCGAGAACGACAGACGAACACGAAGCCAAATACGATGAATTTTGAAGGCTGAAGCTTGGTCAATATACAAAAAATTGAAGCAGGAATCGAGCTATACATATATAATAATGAATCTATCTGTGGGTGTTGGCGGTCCGATGGGCAGCTGATTTTTTATCCACTTCAAAATCAAAACATCCAACCGATATTCATCGAAGGATTTTGAATCGAATTGGCTAGCACCATGCCTCGAGTAATGGACCGAATGCTACGCCGTAAATCCCAAGGTACATGGTTCATCGAAGGACCATTAGTCCGCTGCATGAATCTCTTTGATTTAACAGTGTTAGGACTCGGTGGCTTAATAGACGCTGGTATCTATGTAGTTATAGGACAACTAGCTTTAAGACTGGCAGGTCCAGCAGTGATCATTTCGTTTCTAATAGCAGCAATAGCGGCAGTTTTATCAGGACTTTGTTATGCTGAACTTTCCTCACGGATAACAAAAACTGGCTCCGCGTATGTTTACGCTTATGTCGTTCTAGGCGAATTATGGGCCTTCTTAACGGGCTGGAGCATGATAGCAGAATATCTAGTCAATGCTGCGTCTATGGCAAGAGCGTTTGTTGGCTATGTAAACTCTCTAACCGGAGACAGTATGTATGATCTTTTTAGAGATAAAATAAGTTGGGGAATGAATCCCTTATTTGGAAACTTCCCAAATTTTCCCGCGCTTTTTCTGGTAATCGTGGCAGCGGTCATTGTCGGTCTTGGAGTGCGCGAGTCGAAGATGTTCATGGATGGAATCACTAGCATTAATGGTACAGTCATCGTGTTTGCAATCGTCTCAGGATGCGTCTTCGCTGACACGGAAAACTGGTCCTCGCTGGAGAAATTCGCTCCTAATGGGATCAGCGGTATCCTCATGGCAGCACCTAGCTGTTTCTACTGCCTCTCAGGCTTTGACGCCATACCTACAGCAAGTGAAGAGGCGTTAGATCCTCGACATGGAGTCTCTTCGGCAATCTTATTATCCTTGACGATCAGCATAACGGCCTATTTCTGTGTCGCCACCGTTCTCACGCTCATGGTCCCGTACAACGCGATCGTAGGTTACGCACCTCTTGCCGAAGCGTTCCTCACAAATGACTTCGAACCGGGATACTACATAGTGACCATTGGTGCCTTGTGTGCCGTGTTTGGTAGTCTCCTAGCAACGACTTTTGCTACCACCCGATTGGTCTATTCAATAGCCTATGATGGTCTTATCTCATCCTGCTTTGCCCGAGTGAGTGAGCGCACGCACGTGCCTTTCATCGCTGTCATTACTACGGGAATCCTAACTGGTATCCTAGCAGCCTGTATTGACATGACATTATTGGTCGAGTTGGTCTCCGTAGCAACTATTACCACGTACACAATGGTATCCCTCTGTGTTTTGCTCTCTCGTTATCAGACGGACGTTGGTAGTGTCTACCTAGATGGATACCTCCATACGAGCCCAAGCGTCGCTAAATGGCTAGAGAAAAGGTTGTTCCCCAAAGCTACCGAAAAGGCCAAAACTATTGCAGCAAAAAACTACGAGAAAATCTCCCGACTGGACCGACCGGAGGAACTGGATAAACCTGAATTCCAATCTCGGCACAGGCTATCCAAAGACACTCAATATTCTGCCACCATCGCGTTGATATTTTTCACCCTGTGCCTACTCGGGTTCTGGACGTCATTTGATGTGATGTTAGCTGACCTTAGCAGAATTGACCCCGTGGCTTTATCTTTAATGTGTCTGTATGGAATCACGTGTATTGTGACTCTAGGTGTCCTGCTTCAAATGCCCAGGAATAACGCCAAGTTTCCCTTCATGGTGCCTATGGCTATACCGATAGTCAGTATTGTGATTAATACCTTCATGTTGGTCAGGATACATTGGGCATCGTATTACATGTTCTGCTCATGGACTGCATTAGGTAAGTTAGTCGTATGCTGTAGTGGAATTGGTGGCTTGGTAGGTTGGTGAGTTGGTGGCTTGGTGGCTTGGTGGCTTGGTTGGTGGGTTGGTGGGTGGCTTGGTTCTGGTATGGTTAATCGTCGGATATTGGTTCAATAGACCTCCTTGGCTCGGCGTAATGTTGTCCCATTTCAGATCACGTGTCATTCCCTTAAGAATAATTATCTTTGTTTGAGTTGTATCCATATTCATGTGTCTTCTCATGTGCAACCGAGCGCAAACCTTAAACAAAGAAATGATACTCTAGGGAATTCGAATGACACGTGGTCTGAAATGGGACAACATTACGTCAGAGCCGAGGAGGTCTATTGGTAAATTATTAACAACCTTCACTCTTTTATATATTCTATTTTTCAAAAAAAAACTTTTCCATTTTCCCCCAGGAATGGCAATATACTTCGTATACGGCTATTCGCACAGCACAGAGTCCCACGCGCAAGAAGAACCCGAGGTGTTCATGGACTACGCGGTTGTGCCCGGGTTACCCATGGGTACTGAAGTCATAAGTCCCGTCCAGGCCCCTCTGAAGAGGAAGAATCCATTTGAATATACGGGCTTAGAGTATGAACCAGAAGAAATCGAACAGGATGAATTTGGACCAGATCACTAGCATAGTACAGTGAGCATGCCCAAATGAGTGTGTCAGCTGACCAACCACAATTTTTATTATTTTTTTAAATGGGTCTTTTTTTTTTTTTCTTTTTTTTTTTTTTTTTTTTTTTTTTTTTTCTTACATATTATTTCCCATAAAAAGTATTCCTTCTTGGAGTGGAGATATTCTCCCTTGATTTGAGCGGTGTTTTTTTACCGGTTTTTCCAGTTTTGTTTTCTTTACAAAACCTAGCCAGGCTAAATTCCAATTTCACAATCATAGCCCAACCCCACTCCCCCTCCCC